TCTTAAATTTTAAATTAAATTTTAATTAAATAAAATGATATAATTTTAAATTAAAAATTGAAACTAATATATATATATTCTTTAATATATTAACAATTTAATTAAATTTATTTACCTAAAATAACATTCAAATTAATGTTATTTTTATTTTTTTCTATAGTTTATTAGAAAAACGCTTTCTCAGTGTATGGTTTAAGGATAGAGGTAAAAAAATTTATCGTTATAATTAATAAAATTCCGCAAATACGCAATCTACAATCAGAAAGAAACACGTGTCATTTTCCCAGTTTCTCTTTGACTAGAATGATCCATTCTAACTGACAAATGCTCATTCTCTTCCCACTTCAGCCTGCGGCTTTGCCATTTTCTTTTTCTTTTTCTACATCTTCTTTTTTAAATTCAATAATAATTCATTTTGATTTAACTTCACTTCTTCATCTTCAATTTTATACTGTATATATAATATATTTTATTTTCTGGAAATTTAAATTATTTATTTTGTTGGGATATTGTACTTTTGACAGTGCCAGCTAAAAATGGAAAACAGTAATGAGCACGAAAGCTAGAGAGAGAAATGGGCGGTCGGAGAAGAGAAAGGAGAGAGTGATTTTGAATCCATCATTCAATCTCTTCAATCCCCATACCTTCCTCTCCTCCATCAAATTCCAAATTCCTTCTCCTCCTCATAATTTTTAATACTATTCAGACCCCTCAAGCTCATACCATCTTACACATACACAGAGGGAGGTAGAATCCTTCACTTTCCTTTTTCTCATACATACCATAAAGAGATCCAATTCAATCCAATCAATTTTCTCTCTTTGACTGCCAAACTCTTCCCCCAAGATTTCTAGAGAAGGAAAGTTTGGTTTTTTATTGTTTTTAGTTTTGTCCCTTTTTAGAGAGAGAGGACTTTCTTTGGGTGTTATGTAGGGAAGTTTTTGGATAGAGAAATGTTGGCAATGGAGAAGGATTTTGATGCCAAGCTTAGCATTCAGGGGAACAATTCTTCCAATGGAGGCAACACCATGCTGAGATCTAAGAGCTTCGCCTTTAGGGCTCCCCAGGAGAATTTCACCATCCAGGATTTTGAATTGGGCAAGATGTATGGCGTTGGTTCTTATTCAAAGGTCTGCACTTTTATGCTCTTTGTTACTTGTGGTTTTTCCCATCTGGGGTTTTTGTCTTTTGGTTTTTGATTGGTGGGTAGAATTGTTTGGTATTTTTAATTGTGTTGAGATGTTTTATTCTGTTTTCTAAATCCATATGGGTACTTGTTTATATAATTATAAATGCCCACGTCTTGTTTTCCTGTTGACTGTGATTCTTTGATGAAGGAAAGCATGCATTATATAATAAATTTTATTTCCAGTGCTTCTGAATTGAGACAAATGAGGGTTGATTGATTTTGCTTGAAAGTGGGTGAAGGTTAGTCTTAGAATGCTCGAGATTCGAAGTATGCCATTGTTTAGTTCTAGGAAGCTTGAGCAACAGCAAAGGAAACAAATTCGGCTGAACAAGCTAACTTGTAATTTCATTCTCTTCCTATTTCTGAAAAAATGTGGGGCTACCAGTTTGAAGCTGTGTATGGCCGTTTTAGGTTTACTTTGGCTCTCATCTTTGTTTTATACGTGTTAGATGAGGCTGTGAACTTGCTGATAAAGAAAGAAAAAAAAATGAGGGGTGTCTACTTAGCGCTATCATATTTTTATTCTTGTCATTGAGTCCTTAGTTGCAGTTGTATGACCACTTTGTGCCTGCTTGTCCTTGTTCACGTGCATACTCACCATATAAGTTTGCTCTGAATGTCATATTGATGATGTCATCAGGTTGTGAGGGCAAAGAAGAAGGATACAGGAATTGTATATGCTTTAAAAATCATGGACAAGAAGTTCATTACCAAGGAAAACAAGACAGCTTATGTGAAGTTGGAACGTATTGTGCTTGATCAACTTGACCACCCTGGAGTTGTGAGGCTATTTTTCACTTTTCAGGATGCATTTTCACTATGTAGGTATTCTTGGTTTGGTTTATCATTTCAATTGTGTGATACATTTGTGATTTAACCTAGCTTTTAATAGCATATTCACTAACTTCATTCTCTAGAATCAGTTATGCCTTGCAGGCAAACTGAAATTTTCCTTTGTGTATGACATTGATCTCTTTGACTATGTTTTGAAGACATGGCACTGGAATCCTGTGAAGGGGGAGAACTTTTTGACCAAATAACAAGAGTAAGTTACTTCTTCACATGAGCTTCTTATTTAATTCTTGACAATTTACTTTCAAATAATAATCTTGCAGTAGCTTTTTCTTCAATCTTGAGGCATGTTATTAGCTTACTTCAAAATGGAATTATGCATCACAAATATTGTATCATTTGTTTGTAAAATTTATCCTGCCAAGATCTAAATGAATCTGGGATCCTGGCATCTGCTTATTGGTCTATGATGTGAATAAATACTAGGGAATTGCTCTGGAAGTACCAAAAATTTTGTACATGATATTGCCACCCCCAGTACCATCCCCTTTTCATAATATGTCAGAATATTGCTTGTCTCGAATTTTGTTATTTTGGTTTTCAAATTTGATCCTCTCTTTCTGCTAGCAGTTCACTCATGGTGTCCGCCATCTGGTTACTTTTTATGTGCAGAAAGGGCGTTTATCAGAGGATGAAGCTCGAATCTATGCGGCAGAAGTTGTAGATGCGCTTGAATATATTCATAGTATGGGATTGATACATCGCGACATTAAGGTATTTTCCTACCATGCATATTATATTAAGTTGGCATCTAAAAGGTGCTAAAGGTTTCTAAAATGGTGCAGCCAGAGAACTTGCTATTTGCTGCCGATGGGCATATTAAAATTGCTGATTTTGGAAGTGTAAAGCCTATGCAGGATAGCCGCATCACAGTCCTTCCTAATGCAGCCTCAGGTAATAATTTGATTTTATATTGTGGAAATTGTGTGTGTGTGTGTTTTTTTTTTAATCTTGTGGAAATTGTTCAAGTCCTTTTCTCAGATGTTAACTAAAGATTGTTTCTGCTAACTGTCCAGATGATAAGGCATGTACATTTGTGGGGACGGCTGCATATGTCCCTCCAGAAGTCCTGAACTCTTCTCCTGCAACTTTTGGGTGAGGGACCTTCATCCCCAAACTAATTGAATTTGTGATTTAATTTAAATATTAGCTTGCTACAGCTTAAACTAGATCTGATTTTCAATGATGTAGTTGGAAAATCATTTTTTTACCCTTTTATTATCTTGGCTTTCTAGTTCTAGGTAAAGCAGGTAGTTGATATTAGTTATCAACCTTGTTTTTTTTGCCCTGTTCTTACTGCTTATGTAGGATAACAGTTTTGCTCTTTTGAATATTTATTCAAACAGAAATGACCTCTGGGCACTTGGCTGCACCTTGTACCAAATGCTTTCAGGAACTTCTCCCTTTAAGGATGCAAGTGAATGGCTTATTTTTCAAAGAATTATTGCCAGAGATATACAATTTCCTAATTATTTCTCAGATGAAGCTAGGGACCTTATTGATCGGTTACTGGTAAGCTGCAATTTTCTCTGTAATGGATTTCCTTCTTAGACTCTCTTCATTTTATTTTTCTGAAACAGGCTCTCGTGTGTGTAGGTCTCATCTTATTCTCTCTTTATCCTTCTTTTACTCTTCAGAAAAAAGGATATAATCTTTTGCAATAATGCTATTCTGGGTTGTCCTCTAGTTTAAGATAATAGAATGGAAGTAATAGGAGAAAGTGAGGAATGCTTTTCATTTATTTCAAGGTGTCTTGAGGAACTGACAACCTGACATCATTCATACAAATGTTGTCCTGGTATCAGTTTCAGTGTCATGACTGTTATGCATGTTTTTGCTTTATCAAATTTGATAAATGTAGTTGTACCCAAGAAAATAAAAGAGATAAATTTGGTCTCAAATTATTGTGATGCAGGATATAGATCCTAGCAGACGACCTGGTGCTGGACCTGATGGTTATGCTGAACTTAAGTTGCATCCCTTCTTTAAGGGAGTTGACTGGGATAACTTAAGATCACAAACACCCCCAACGCTTGCAGTGGAGGCATCTGTATGACTCTGGATGTTCTGTTCATGATGAAATCGAACTTTGATTTACATCTTTGCCTCTTTCACTTATCCCTTCTTGATTGTTTTAATTTTGTTTTATTATTTTTCAGGTCCAATCAGGTGAGGGTGATGATCACCACGATTCTTCATGGAATCCTACCCATATTGGGGATGGTTCAGTTAGACAGAATGATGGAAATGGTGGTGCCTCAGCATCTTCTGAATTGTCTGGCCATGTAACCAGGGTTGCCTCTATTGACTCCTTTGATTCGAAATGGTATAAGATCAAACGTTTTATTATTATTATTATTATTATTTCTTTATTTTTTTCTGAAAATAACGCATATTGTAACCATGTTAACAGGCAACAATTTTTGGAGCCAGGAGAATCTGTTCTTATGATCTCAATGGTGAAGAAAATACAGAAATTATCAAGCAAGAAGGTGCAACTTATCCTCACCAATAAACCAAAATTAATTTATGTGGATCCTTCAAAACTTGTTGTTAAGGGTAACATTATCTGGTCTGACAATTCTAATGATCTCAGCATCCAAGTCATTAGTCCAACCCATTTCAAGATTTGCACGGTATGCTTCTCATTGCCCTGATTTCCTGTTTCTGTTGGTTTCATTTCATATTTCTGATTACCTAGCACTTGCAATGCCACAGCCAAAGAAGGTAATTTCATTTGAAGATGCAAAGCAAAGAGCATGGCAGTGGAAAAAGGCAATAGAGGGTCTTCAAAACCGGTGATACAGTATTATCAAAGGTTTTGAAGCAGATTTTTTGGATTTTCTGCTAGTATAGAGAAACTTTGGACGCCGAAACAACCATTTGTTGGATGAAAGTGACTCAGTTTCAGATCACTCAGTTCAAAGACTGCTGATTTCATTCAAGCTCTCCTGCACTCTTGTTGAGAACTGGGTTTATCATGATTGTTTATGACCACCACTATAGCTTTATATTGAAATGAAAGTACAATTTGAAACCCTAACATGGGGTTTGAGAGGTGGGGCTAAATCTCCATCCATCACTTTTTCTTGTAACAAAAACATTCCAACCATTAATGATAATTTCTTTCCATGGAAGTCCTTCAAGTTAATCTGCGACTTGCCTTGTTATTTTCTAGCATCTTTGATGAGTGAATTCTCTTGTATTCTCAGGTAATTTCTTATATATAGTTTTTTTTTTTTAAAACAAAAATTTGGGAAAATAAGTTCTTGAAAAAACTGTTTACGGCTTGATCATGGTTCTGGGGTGCAAGAGTGCAAAGCATCCTTTTTTGATGGGCAAGGATTGCAAAATACCATCCTCTTAGGCCTCTGACTTCTAGGCCCTGTTTTGTCTTCCTTTCCCCGGAAGGCTACATGTAAGATATGGATTGGTTTAGGGTTTGTAATTTCTTAACAAAAATCGTCAAAAAAAAAAAATTCTTATGGTTATAAATTTGATAAATTTTGTTTTGAAAAAAATATAAATAGTTATAAACAATGTAATCAGATATAATTAGTTGGAAAGCATTTTTCAATGAAAAATGTGAAATTCTCAACACGGTAAATAATTACAATTGAAAAATAATCATTTATTTTAATTTTAAAATAATATAATTGATTGTATATAATAATATAATTGATTATAATCAATTACTTTTTGCATTAAAATTTATGCCTATGAAATGACTTTCCCAGACCAAGTCATGGTTTAAAATATGCAAGTTTCCTTATATTTTTTCCTTAAACCTTGCAAACCAAACAAGGTCTAGTAGTATATAAATTTTTTTTGAGAAGGTAACTTCTATTTCTATACCACAATGTTGTAACTTTTGAAATAGTTAAAGAGTTAGGATCGGTTTACATTGCTGTAAGGGTTTATCAATTCTCAATTACTAATTTCAAAATTTTAACAATTAATATAGCAATTAAGTTTTTAAAATAACCCTTTAAGTTTTAAAATGTATGACTAAAAATTAATATAAGAGTATTTTAAATTTAAAAAAATATAGGTTGATCCCTACACATGTCATATGTTAATAATAAACTCATGCATGGTGTATTGTGTAAGAGATAAAAGTACTCTTAATAAATGAGAAGTGCATGAAAATCATTAGTAGTGTTTTTACATCCTAAGCTTGTTAACAACTTACATGGTATAGTCATATGCATGTGGCTAGAGCGGATGAAGGAATAAAAAAAAAAAGTTATTTTTTATTGTATAATTAAAAAAAATTTAAATCTTAAATTAATATATTTTTCTTACAATGTGAAACTAGAAAAATAAAAAGTGCCACTTGGGTAATGAAATTACAATGGTACCTTCTATGAATAAAAGAGTGAGATTATTAAAGATATTTTAATAATTTTACACCTAAAATTTCATTTTTTGTGTCATTCACATTAAAAAACACATTTCTTGTTATTTAAAAAAATAAGATGGGGTTGAAGAAAAAGAAAAATGATAAACGGTAACTATTGGAATTTTCACATAAATAAAGGACTTCCTTGCAAATCAACCCCCAAGCCCCATGACTGGGTTTTCTTAAACTATTTAGGGATTCAATTGCTAGGTTTTATGCAAATCGCAGAGCGGCAAAAGCAAGCGGTGCACCAGTGACCATGGTTCTCAAGTACGTTCCTTTGCATTTTGATTTTTTAACCGTTGTTTGGTTTCCGGCTAAGAACCAAACGGAAAACCTAAAAGATGGATGGCAGATTTGTTTTCTTTTGGCCTTTCCCCCCTTTATTCTCTCAGCTCCCAAAGCGAAGCATTTTGGATGTTAAATTCTTCGAGTTATTCTTTGTTATTGTTGCAACTGTTAAAGGAATAAATTTTGTTTCTTGCTTGATTTGTTTATCTTCATTCAGGGATTAAGCTATAGTGTACATTAAAAACCTGAGCTTTTGAAAATTTGAATAGCTATGCAATCATGCAGCATTGGATTAGTAGCAATTTGTGGTTAAATTTGCATTCGCATTCTTAACTAATTGATCCCCAAATGTTGTGTTTCAGGACTGAACTCTGCCGCTTTAGCGGTGCAAAGATCTACCCCGGCAAGGGAATCAGATTCATTAGATCTGATTCTCAGGTAATTACTTGTTTTTGTTTCTCTTTTTGGGCTGGGGTTTCATTTTGGAATCTTATGGGTTATTTGGATTATCATTTTTGCCTGACAATTCGAGTTTCCATTTGATTGATTTCAGGTTTTCCTGTTTGCCAACTCAAAATGCAAGAGGTACTTCCACAACAGATTGAAGCCTTCAAAGCTTACATGGACTGCCATGTACAGAAAGCAACACAAGAAGGTGGGAGTACTTCAATCTTGCCATCTCTATGTGGTTATTATGTTGTAATGGAATCTTATTGTGTTGTTATTCACATTTTCACTGTTGTATAACTCACAGGACATAGCTGCTGAGGCTGTGAAAAAGAGGCGCCGTACTACCAAGAAGCCTTATTCTAGGTCTATTGTTGGTGCTACCCTGGAAGTGATCCAGAAAAGGAGAACTGAGAAGCCAGAAGTGCGAGATGCTGCTAGGGAGGCTGCTCTACGGTATGTTTGCCTTTGTTGGCCCATATCAAATTTACTTTGTAAACTGAAATTTGTAACTTTTAAGTCTAAGTTTAGATTTAAATTTGCTGATCTGGGGGCTCAACATTTAAAATTGTATGTAAAATATGTTTGCTATGTTTGCCTTTAATACTTATGATTTTTTTCATTTATTCTGCAGTGAAATCAAGGAGAGAATCAAGAAAACAAAGGACGAGAAGAAGGCAAAGAAAGCAGAAACCATGGCCAAAACTCAGAAGACACAGGGTAAGGGTAATGTTTCCAAGGGTGCTGCTTCAAAGGGCCCTAAGCTGGGTGGTGGTGGCGGCAAGCGCTGAGTAGTTATTTCATATTTGGACCAGAAAAAGTAGGAAGTTGGATTGATGAAGGTCTTTGTAGTAATGTCTGGTTCCTTCTCAATTTTGTTAGTTGTTTCAGTTCAATGGTTTTTTAACAATTGGTATTTACTGGATTGGTAGAGTTTTTGAATTCATCTACTTCGGGATGAAAACAAACTTGTTATTTAAGAAAGCTCTTTACACAGCTTCCTATTTTTTGCTCATGTCTGTTTTATTGCATGGAGATTATGTTCCTGGCTCTCAAGGGTTGTGCTAAGAAATGGAAGATTGAATTAGAAATCTGCATCCACCATGAATCATCACTCAAAAATTTTATCATAAAACCGAATGTAATGGATGTTATTCAGTCTCCTCTATAGACTTTCACATCAGTTAAACTTCTAAAACTAACTTTCAGAACGAACACGAGCCAGTCATCTTTGGCCTATAGACCTAATCGAACCTGGATGCTGTGTGCTGACCTTGGTGATGATAAGTCAATTCTGGAACATGATTTTCCTTTTGCAGTCGTTGGCCAAAAGTTGACGGAACATCCATCAGGAACAAAAAAATTTCTTCAAGGACCATTGTTCGCATTTTAAGAAACTTGAAGGATCAATTTTGACACTAACTGACTAACACTTCAAAGTTCAAAGTAAAACGGGAAATTGTCGTATTCCGCAGCAGAGCAGGGAAGAGCAGCCATTGCCGATCGGAAAGTTCTTCTGAAAATTCTACTTTCACTTTATGCAGAAGACGTAATCAAATTGTTGCTTGCTCTCTTCCATTCTCTGACTGAGACTTCAATGGTACTTTCACGGCTTCGAAATCCAGTGATCG